TCCCGTGGGGGTGGGAAACTCCGGGATGAGGAGGAAAAGAGGAACAAGGCTCCCCTCCAAAAAGGGGCACAAGGGACCCCCCTGAGCCCTGCTGGGCTGGGGGACCCTCAACCCTACAGTGTCCCCCCTCCCCCTGGGCTGGGGGGGCTCCCTGACCCCCCCCCGGGGTTGGGGAACCCCCTGTCCCCCTCCCCTTCCCCCAGGGTTCCCCCCTGTGCATTAGGGGGGGGATTTGCCCCCCCGGGGGGCAGGTTGTTCCCCCCCCCCACTGGGGCACAGGAGGGATTTGGGGGTGCAGAACCGACTGGGGGAGGGGGTCACACCGCCGTGACCCCCCTCAAACGCTCCCCCCCCCCCAGCCTGTGTCCCCCAGTTCACCAACTGCCCCACCATGGTGATCCTCGTGGGGTTGCCCGCCCGGGGCAAAACCTACATCTCCCGAAAACTCACCCGCTACCTCAACTGGATCGGGACCCCCACACGGGGTGAGTGTTTTTGGGGCGCTGGGGGGGGGTGCGGGGAAGGTTTGAGGACCCCCTAAAGCCCCCCCCCCGACCCCTCCCGCAGTGTTCAACGTGGGGGAGTATCGCAGGGAGGCCGTGCCCAGGTACGAGAACTACGAGTTCTTCCGCCCGGACAACCCCGAGGGGATGGAAATCCGCAGGTCAGAGGGGGGGGGTTTGGGGCGAGGGGGGTATTTTGGGGTGTATTTGGAGGGGGGGCACAGCTAAGAGGCCCCCCCGTCCCCAAATTCCCAGGCACTGCGCCCTGGCCGCCCTCAAGGACGTCCGGACCTACCTGAGCTCTGAGGGGGGGCAGGTGGCGGTAAGACCCCCCCCCCCAGGGATACAACAACCCCCACAAGGGGTAAAAGAGCCCCCCCAAATTTTGGGGGGGGTCCAAACTGCCCCCCCAACCCCTCCCCAGGTGTTTGATGCCACCAACACGACGCGGGAGCGGCGGGATGTGATCCTGCAGTTCGCCAAGGAAAACGGGTACAAGGTGCAGCTGGGGGGGCACCAGGAATTTTGGGGGGTTACGGACTGAGGGGGGGTCTAGAGCACAGTTTGGGGGTGGTCCTGGTTTGGGGGTGTCCGCAGTACGTGGGGGGTGACACTGTTTTGGGGGTGTTGCAGTTTGGGGGGGCGGTGG